ATGCGCACCCCAGGAAATCTGAAAGGCAAGGGAAAAATAAAATTGAATAAAATTGCACCACGCCCTCCCTGCATGGCTCGGCTCGCTCTGACATGCGCCACCCGCTGATCATGAGAATATGCGCACTTTCTTAGCCTGTCGCTGCGCTGGTATTGCTCACAGGTCGAATGTGTCATTTCCGCCGCACGGAGTCGAGCCCCATTGTGTGTCTCGACGGTAGACGGGCGTACGTATATCCGCGCGCCGCATCCATGCCTGCCCGGATAACGATCTGGCGGAAGATAACAGCGCGCACAAGGCGCAGACACTTACCGTGATCGGCCTTCGCGAAATACTCGGTCGTCAAGGAGGAAGGAGGCCATCGCATGGAGTGCGGTGATATGGAGCAGCAGCACCGCAGAGGGCATGTGCAGCCCATGGGTTCCGTGGAGATTAACGTGCACAGATCGATTAAATTAATTATGCAGCAGAGCTCCGAAGCGCACAAAGTGTCCTGACGTCGTAAGATGTGATGAGAAACGAAGCATTAGATTTTGACTGTTGGGTAACAGAATATCGAGGGGGTCTATGGCGGGGCGGGAAGAACTAGAGGAATAAGGGGGGTATCGTAGCGAATCCTAATGCAAGAAGACGGAGAGGAAGGAGGAAGGTTAATGCTATAAGATAAGAGACAAACGGGGGAGAGAGGCTAAGGATACAGTGTCGTGGAGAGCGATTCCTGCGCGTCCTAAACAAAGTTCACAATATCCGGTAGAGAAAAGGGATCACCAGTGTCCCCGAGTCGCCCCGACAAAGCCGAGTTCGAGCGAGTCTTCGACGCCCTCGGGCTTGTCTTTTCCGCAGAGGCCGGCAAAGCCGACGCGATCGTACACGCGCTGGGCGCTATTTTCGTGTCCGACGTACAGGACGACACAATCTTTTCCACAGTCGAACAGGAGCCTGATGGCAGTGCCGTGAGCGTCGCGCGCGGGGGCTGCGGATGTGCCGTACGACATACCTGGCAGTGACATCGCGTACGAGGAATTCTGCACACCCCTTGCGGCGCCAGCGGGGGGTGGTGTATACTTTTGTGATTGCGGAGACGCGGTGAGAGTTGCGGGTGACGGCGCAGATGGTGGAGATGTCGCCGGCAGCGTCGTAGACCCAGATCTGGCCCTTTGCGATGAGTTCACGGGCCTCCACGCGAGCGTGCTCAATCGCGAGGGGAAAGTAGACCTGGCAACGTGGAGCGGATGGTCAGTGAGTGATCGTGAGCTAGGCGATGGGAAGACTGACCGAGTCGTCGGCAAACTCCTTGCAGAGGCGGGCGACGGGTTCTAGGTCGTGCGTGGTCGCGCGGCGGAGGACGTGGTTGTGAGGGATGGGGACGTCCGAGGGTTCGAAAGAGTCGGCTGTACAGTAGGAGAAGAAGGCTGCGTAAAAAGGTTCCGGCTCAATGGCGAAGCCTGTGAGGGCAGACCAGTAGCGCGCAAATGTCTTGACGAGGGGAGTCATGCCGAATACGGAAAAGACGCGCTCTGGGGGAACGCAGAGGCGGAGATGGTCTGCGAGGTGCTGTGTTCTGGAGAGGAGCCATTCGGAGGAGAGGGTGCCGACGCGGTGGGGTGTCCAGAGGAAGATGGGGTACTCGCCGAGGGTGGAGTTGACAGAGGAGAGGACAAAGTCGAGGGTCGGGCGGGCGGAGGGGGTGATGGACCAGACGGTAAGCCAGAAAGAGTCAGTGGTGCGGTGGGGCAAAGAGGAGGACGGATCAAAGCAGGCTTCGACGTCGGCGTCACTGATAAATTGGAATGCACTGAGGGCGGCCTCTGCGGTGATGCGCTTGAGTGCGTGTGCGAGGACGATGTTGGACGAGGCTTCATGGCGGCGAAGGGTGGGATAGGCGGCAGCAAGGAAGTCGTTCGCGGAGTCGTGTTGGATGACGACGATGCGGGACGGAGAGAGGGTAAGACCAGGCATGGCTGTGGGCGGAATGGTCAGCGGGAGGAGGAGCGGGGAGAGGGAGAAGGAGAGGGAGAGACGTACTAATTAAGTAGCAGGAGGAGGAGGAGGAGGTAGATTAACAGAGATGTTAACAAGGCAGCAGAGGATGGTGAGGAGGGGAGATGGGGCCGACTGGGGCGGCTTTTAAGGAGGGGGAGGGATATTTGCAACAGAACAGTGACAAATCAGGCGGAGAGATGAGGGTGGCATGGCTGGAAGGAGACAAGAATGCAGAGAGTCGGCTGAGGAGGGCATGTCCGCATTTGGCCAGATCCAAACAGACTCGCAGGCACCGTCCTCATCTCCGATCCCGCGCCCGGTCCCGAGCGCCCCCCGCGAGCGAGGGCAGTGCTCGGCGGGGTCCTGCTGTCCGTGAAGGGGAGAGTCCGGGACCAGGAGGAGACCTCGGCAGCCACTCCCTCAAGCCTCAGCCCTCACGTGTCCCCTGTCCACCACGGTCACGCCTACGCCTCGACGAGTATTATAATATTATACTCACTCTCCGTACTCATTAATCGTCCAAGGGGCTGTCCTCTCCCAGTCACCGACCGAGTCGCTTCCGTCGTCCTTGGCTCCCGCCGCGATCTCGCCCTAGCTCAGCACGGAGATGCCTCTTTACTCGGATCCATTCCCAGTAATCCCATCTCGCCTATTCCTCCGTGCCACAAGGGTCGGAAACGTAAATCATATCCTGTCTCGTAACACCAACGCTACCTAGGTCCCCGGCTACGGCATCCTCTGATGCGTCCTGCCG